ATCGGCCGGTAGTTCCTCTGTTATTGCCCTGGAGACTTGAAGCCATTTGCCTTTTTTCTGGTGTAACCAAGTTCAACACCTTTGCGTGTTGTGTATAATGCCCCCGTTTGTCCATTCGAAGGAACCTTCCCAAGCCAAAGGATAACAAAAGCCAGTCAGCCGCTGCGTTACTTTCATATCCCACAACTTTGAGTCTATCATAGGATGAAACAATGAAAAGCAAAATAAATATAGTTCAGTTTATAGACTGACGCTGTTTTTTTTTTTTTTTTATTATTGATACTTGCGGGGTCTTGAAAAAAGGACTGCCTGAAAAAGGCCCGACTAAATTCCATTTTAGTAGGGATTACTGACTTTTTTATACAGCTATTTCGAGAAAGGTTGTCGGAGAAAATGTTCGCGCGACAATCCCGAAAGGTGATATGGGATATGATCAATACACTGTTCCTGATACTGTCAGTAGCTGTCGATCGTACTTTTGTTTTTTTCTTTTAGCACCCGCAAACATTCATCCATGGCCTCTCGTGTAATTCTTTCAAACTTCTTTGAAGAACAGTGAATTCAAAACCACCCACAATACCTTTCGGGATTGTCGTGTGCACTTTTTCCTACAACCTTTCTCGAAATAGCTGTATACCAGTTATGTATTTCAGTCTTCGAAGCCGCCTTGCGTATTTTCCTTTGACTCTAACAGAGCAATATTACGAAGCAAAAGATCTTTCCAGCTTTCCTGTGAACAAGGGCACCAGCTGGAGGTTTGGGTTCAAAAAATGCGGTCATGTCACCTAAGAAAAGAGTGATTAACGAAATGAAAATGAGAGGAAAGGGCTTACGTCTGATAACCGTCTTTCGAAATTTGTAAGGTCAAATGCCGCATTTATTTATCTAATTATTCATCCTATCCAGGATGATGGGTATATTCACAAAATGTACACTAAACCTTGGGTAGAGTCTCAGTCTATAAAAACAGACAGTACTATTTTTAATTCATCAGCCTTTCAGTTTTTTAAAGCTGGGAAACACTTAATTCTGAGTCGAATAATTACTACGTAACCTTCATTCCATTTTTTAAATTGTAACTTAATCCATTTGCTAGTAACGTTTTAAGCTTTTCATTTTCAAACTGATGACCAGTGTGTAGTTTGCCCGCCGCAGTCTCCTCTCTGATCTCTACAAATTTAAAAGGCGGCGTTGCATTCTATGGATCCAGGTTCGCCAATTAAAGAGTACATCGTCAAACCATTCTATTCTACCTTGGTAAATTCTGGCTGTATATTTAGTTTCTTGTATTGCTTTGTTATGTCTTTAAAGAGCAGCAGATACTAAATGTTCAAATATTGGGTCAGTTTTAAATGATTTTCTTTACAAGTTTAATCTCATTATTACTCATTCAAAATGTTTCCCCTTTTCTTAATTGCCATAAACTACCTATGCGTTGCAAAGATCAGCGAATGCATTCAGGAAATTAATTAAAATTGTTGGAATACATTCATTTTGATTGGATTTTAATTGCCATACCTTACGCCAGTGGATAACTTCAGACTGTCTGAAATCAAAATAACAAAAGCAGCAAATGTAATTATTGACTATTTATAACTCGGTGTAAATCGCCATACAATATGCTAGTGGATTTGAGCCAGCCCTTTGATGTTTCCGTGACGCGTAATCAAAAGTGGTAGCAACATCATATACATATGTGCAAAAGATGGACGCTTAATTATAATTCTTTGAATAAACTAGTTTTTAATTTGATTTAAGTTATCATAGACTGCTAATTGGACATCAAAAAAATAAATAATAATAATAATAATAAATAATAATAATAAATAATAAAAAAAAGGAAAAAAAGGAAGAAGAAGAAAGCAAATTAATTTGAGGTCATTTTAATTCTATGCACATGTAATACTTCTTGCTACTATTTGATTAGAGTATATGGTGCCAAGTGGAAAAAGAACGTTTCCATCAACTTCCTATGCACTACTTAAAGATGGACTTAACAAAGGTCACTTTTTAGTAGTTAGCATACTGATTTATGACTGTAAATGTACGTTTACGGGCGTTGAATTCCGTCTTCAATGCGATATACATGCTTAATCGGGAAATATCATCGCTATCACGCACCTTGCCGATTCATTCGTGATAATAAAACCAGCCGTCAACACGACTTCATGTCGTGCAGGGAAGGCTTAGTTATTCGTGATCTTACAATTAGGAGAGATCTTAGAAAAAACGGCGAAGGATATATATGTACCATTAAGGAACCCATCTTGAAGCTTAGGAGACGCTCAATTCGAGTTAAGGGCTCCAGGACTTTGAGGCACGAGAACATTGTTGGTTCTTTCTCTATTCACCGACTTATCAACCAGACAAAATCTCTTGTGGTGTAAAATGTCAACAAGGTCTTTAGAGTATTCAAGTGATAAACAAGAGAGAAAAACTCTTCTGAGACCATTTCATCGAACAAAGCTGCGTTTGCGACTTTCTCGCAAAGAAACAACCACGAAAGGCAAGGCGACCGTGGTTTTTTAAATATATTTAATTAAGCCACTTTACGCGCCAAAAATCTGTCTTCTAATCTCATTCCCTCTCGAGCTTACTTTACTACCCTCACGGTTGTCTTCCATTGCTTATTGGACATTTATATTGAAAAAAAGCTGACGATGATATGGAGAATTATACGGATCAAACTTTGGGAGCTGCCTAAAAAAGGAATATTACCGAGTATAATTTAAATCCAAGTATCAAACACTTGCCTACTAATGCAGAAAATGGGAAGTCCACCATCGCCACACATTTCGCTGCTAGCTGAAAGCACTGTTGAACCTTTCCCTGATTCCATGGGATCTGTAAATGATATAACAAACATTTTCTTAGTTCAGTTACAGCTTTTGTTGTTGAGAATTTAAGGCAAAGTTACAAAGCGACACTCGATGGCAACAAATGACTCTATTTTGTTTTGTTTTGTTTTGTTTTTGTTTGGTTTCAAGCTTCAAACACTTGCCTGCTAATGCGGAAAATGGAAAGTCCATCGTCGCTACACATTTCACTACTAGCTGTAAGCACCGATGAACCCCTCCCCGATTCCGTGGAATCTGTAAATAACATAACAGACATTTTCTTAGTTCAATTACAGCTTTTGTTGCTGAGAATTTAAGGCAAAGTTACAAAGCGACACTCGACGGCAACAAATTACTCCAATTGTTTTCTTTCCTTTTTTCTTTTCTTGTTTTTTTTTTTGTTTGGTTTGACGTTCAAGTAGATCATCTTTTCCCAAATAATTTAAACAGCAGCACAATATTCGTGAAAGCAAAAGGGAGCTCTCTACTCAAAAGCCTTTGGTAGGAATATTTTGTACCAGTTTGGCCTTTTTTCACTATAGTCCTCAGAAGGCTAAGACTTGAAATGGCCTAGAGTAAACGTAGAATATAAATGGAGCCCGTCAGGATTAATGGGACTGGGGCGTCACAAGGTTGAAGCGACTAAAGAAAGGAAGCCAACTGTGTTACTTCAAATTGAATTAAATGGATAAGTATACAGGCAATTCACCTACCTTCGAAATTGAAAAATCAGCGAGAAACCTAATGCATCTAGTTCTTCTAAGATGTACACACTCGAAGACGGCTTCAGCAATTAGAGTACTTATAATATGTATATGAATATCATAAAAATGCTTATGATTATTGTATTTCCTGCCTTTTGATTGGCTTGATGAAGAAGAAATATCAGCTATTAACGACTCTATGACCAATGATATGGAAAGTGAATACGTCATAGAGTAAGCAAAAACAACAACAACAACAACTAAATCCTTAGGGGATTGATAGTGGCCCATCAAATTGTGGAACTGTATTTCTAGGAATTTCGACAGCAGCTGCAGCTACACATTGATCTTTAATAATATATCGTCGAAGGTTACTTAGCCTGATAAGGATAACGAGAATCTTAAAACCAAAAAGTGAAATTACTAATCTAAGGAGTGAAAAGTATGATAATTAAGTTATTCATGTTTTTTATACGTCACAAAATCGGTATGAAACTTTTAAGGGATATAAACTGAACCAGTTCACCTACCTTTGAAATTGAAATTAGCGATAGCACCTCATGCACTTGGCTCATGCATAAACACACCCGTACGTAGTACCGGAAGCAGGTTAGAGACGTGGAGTCACAACTAACAATAAAGGGAAAAAAACCTACAGGGATCGAGTACATTAAGTAATTTACTCTAATTTTCAGGTAGATGAGGATATTTACACTGCAGACTTACTTTCCTTTCGTTATAAAAACATATGTAGATAAATAGCGGAATACTACTCTCAATCTTATGACTTTTCTTTAATACTTTCCCTTTCGCTAGGTATCACTTATTTGCTTGTTTGTTTTTAATTTTATCATATATTTATTTGTTTATTTATGTATTTTGATTGTGAGATTTTTGGTGGTTTTTTAGTCTGTAATTTTGCATGTCTTTGTATTTTTAGTGATCAGCTAGAGCTGATAGTTCCTTATTCACGGTCTCAGATTTTTCCAAACCTAGGTATTTCACTTATCGTGCATCTCATTCAGGGAATCATAAAGGCAGGAATGAAGAAAAAAATGGCATTACGCCTTTTTTGCAAAGTCACTCATTTGTCCCTTAATTATTTTCCTCAGTACTGAATAAACGATGGGGCGTAGATATTAAAAACCAACCAACCAACCAACAAACAAATTAAAAGAAAGCAACAGCCGCCAACACAGTTAGATAATGACTTGGAATTGTTTCGAATATACTTGTTTGTGATTTAGTTTTAATTAAGTTTGTCATACGCTGTACTTGTAGATAACGACCAGCGCCCAACATTACGGAATCAAAATTGGAAAACACTTGGTCTCTTTTCCTTAATTAACAACATCTCATAACTGGGGCACTCAAACTTTCCTCGGCATTTCTTAAGGATCTTAAACATTCTCGGAGATTAGTCGGCTCTAATTGTTTTTTTCTTTGAGGTGTTTGTCAATTACAGAGTATCTGTGCTGCTGAGTTTACACCTGCTGGCAAGGATACATTTACTTACACGCACATCATCATCATCGTCATTGCCATCGTCGTCATCATCATCGTCGTCATCATCATCATCATCTTCATCATCATCATCTTCATCTTCATCGTCATCATTAGTTTCTATCACTTTCGTCAGTCGCTCTGGCAAAGTGGCTGGAGGTCATGTTCAAATTACCGTAACGGACTCTGGAAGAGAACGCTAGTGCGTTACTACAAGAGAAAACGATGTTTAATGTCAGAGATGGCAAAAAAGGGTAAGAGTATAGAGAGCTCGGAAAGGCAATAATCACAGCACTAAAATTGAAATTTAACAATCTTTACCTGATTGCTCAAAGTTCCGTTAAGTTCAGAGGCAAACCTTTACGCATGTGTACACTATCGTGTAAAGCTACCGTAAAAGTTGCTAATGAGAGCGTTTTACGTAGTATGCAATGTATTCCGTTAAAAAAAAAAAAAGTTGAAAAAAACAAAAAAAAACAAAACACAGACCTAGCAAAACAAGGAAAGATTGCACGCAACATATAATTATTGATAAGCAGCTAGTATGCACTTCTCTTGAATGGTAACACTACAAGATTTGTCCACCTAGAGTTATAATTAAGTTAGAATGTCTCATAATTTAACTTACAATGGTCTACAACAGAAAGGGTTTATAAAAGGCGAAAGTTGCCAAAATTTTAAAAGTAAACAAATTGAATTTTTTGAAAAATTCTGTGTGACTCTTCCTTATTACATCCCCCCCCCCCTCAATAAACATAATAAATAGCTACCTTGGGCGTAGTGCGCATAAAGACGATCTCCTTTATTCTCAGTAATAGAATCTGTGTATTTTGAAAATTGCTTTAATGGGGATTAATGCGTCGAGATGAAGAGGATGTTCTTAGCTGGTGTCGTGCTTTACGAGGTATGATGTACTTTGTGGACCAGATAACGTAGTTGTAATGACGACCAGTGATGTTACAGTGAAGAAATCAAATGGCCTGCTGAGTGAAGGAGGAACTGGTTTGAGTTTGTTAATGAAAGGCTAATCAACAAAGAAGTTAAGTTTCACGACAGTGTCAAACAAATTAAAGCTCAAAGCAGCTGCAATAAAGGCAGAGAGAGATCTCTGGTGGTGTATTGTGATAGAATCTGGTCATGATGTCGGTGTAGAGAACTCTGTTCTGTTGTTCTGCATTCAATTGCCATGCCCAATGGAAGTTGGAGAGAAAGCATCAGGGAAAACGGATTTGGGCAAAGCCAGCGCCCTATCAGCAAGATGAGGGTTGTCCTATTATCGACGGGATGGCGGCAGTTCAATTTCTCAGCAACGCCTCTGCTGCAAAGCCGTTTGGAGAATGGGGAAGCTAGTTCACTGCCTATGTTAATTCCGACTTTTCTGATTAATGCACCAGAGTCGATGCAATATTTGACCGATATCACCCATATTCCATCAAAGGAGGGGCAAGAACAAACAAGGAAAGAGCAGGGGCTTCTGGCTCACTTTTCGTTTGGTTCTGCTTTGAAAATGGAATAATAATTACTCAGAGACAATATAGTGTAATGAATTGTTGAGAAAACAGCAACAACTTGCTAATATATGGCAAAAAAGGTACTTTAAAAACGAACTAAAGCATTCAAGACACTTTGACCACGTGACTAATGACGTCATTAGGTCATGAAAAAAAAAAAATCAGGCAGTGCATTACTTTCCCGCAAATGTTCTCTGCCGTGTTATAAAAAGTTGACTCTCTATCTACAGCCCTCGGCCTAGTCTCCCGACTTTTCCCTCATGTTCTTACCCCCTTAAATTTTAAATGCCGGACGTCAACTGGTTATTTTTAAATGCCTCACACAACTAAAACCTCAAATATGCTATTTGTTTTTAACTCTTCAATGAAATCTTGTCACAGCAACAAAAAAACAAAAGACTAATTCGGAAATAGTCACGTGAATGATGACGTCATTACCTTGGATGCGAGATGGGAAGATATTTTATGGCAAATGTTACCTTGTTGTGTTCTGACAGTCTTCTGCGTATGACAAATTACCTCAAAGGAATCTGAGAGATTTTTTTATGATAATCGTAATTTACTTTTCTAATTATAACTATCCTATTTGTAATCCTTGACTTGCTTATTTACTCTCTGAAGCACTGGGACCAAACCATGGTCCTTAGGTAGAACCTTTCTGAGGATGTGAGCTGTTCCCAAAAGAGTAATTTTTTGGAGCCCGTTGATGCTGGCTGTGCCTGGAATTTTGTCAATATGTTTTTCCAGTCCCTAATTAATGACCCAAGTGCACCAATAACAACTGGTATCGTCTCTGTTTCCATTTTCCACATTCTGGTGGTTTCAATATCTAAGTCCTTGTTCTTCGAGGGTTTCTCGACCACCTTAACCAATGAATTTATGTCCGATGGAACTGCCATATCTATAATCCAGCATCTCTGATTCGTGTGATCTCTAATTATATTATATCCGGTTTGTTGGCTCTTACTTCTCCATCAGCGTGGATTGGCATATTCCCCAGAATTGTCGCTTTTTCATTTTCTACGACAGTTTCTGGTTTTTCTCGTTTGTGTTCATACCATTTCACTACGGATGTCATGATTTTATAATCCCGGCACACCTTCCAATGGATATATAATGCTGCGTTATCATGTCTTTGAATGCATTCAGAATCCGCCAGTTCTGAGCATCCAGATAGGACATATCAACAAAGTCGTCAATCTTGCCACACACTCTACACAGTGGGTTAGTGCCATCTTTGATGATGTTGCTATGGTAGAACCTTGTTGCCGGGCTTTTATCCTGTGCGGCAATGATCAGCCCCTCAATTTCCGCTTTTAAATTAAGCCACTATTCGTTAGTTCCTAGGACTTAGGAGGTCTACATCTTTCATTATTTTGGGGTGTTTCCCAGTAAGGGCCTTGTCTTTCCACCGTGTGCAGATAGTTTTTCCTTAGCTTGTTGTCTTCCCTTCTTCTTGTTCTTGTTCTTGTTCTTGTTCTTGTTCTTGTTCTTGTTCTTCTTGTCCTTGTTCTTGTTCTTGTTCTTCTTGTTCTTTTTGTTCTTCTTGTTCTTGTTCTTGTTCTTCTTGTTCTTCCTCTTGTTCTTCTTCTTTTTCTTGTTGTTGTTGATGTTGCTGTTGTTCTTCTTCTTTTTCTTGTTGTTGATGTTCTTGTTGTTGTTGTTCTTCTTCTTCTTCTTTGTCTTCTTGTTCTTGTTCTTGTTCTTCTTTTTCTTCTTCTTCTTCCTCTTCTTCTTCTTTCTCTTCTTCCTCTTCTTCTTCTTCCTCTTCTTCCTCTTCTTCTTCTTCTTCTTCTTCTTCTTCTTCTTCTTCTTCCTCTTCTTCCTCTTCTTCTTCTTCCTTCTTTCCTCTTCTTCCTCTTCTTATTTTAGCAGAGTTCTCAACTTGATGCTAAAAGCAGCTGCACAGGGCGCACAGCTTAACGTGTAAGCCTAGGAGTTAAATGGAAATATAACCATAATAATAAAAATGTGTAAAATGTGTTCAAACATCTATATCTTTATACTCCAAAAAAACGCTCGTAAGGGCATCAATGACTTTGCTGTGTTGTTTCACTTCGTACCATTCAACGGCTGTAAGTTTTAATTTCCAACTTAGGGGGTGGGCATACTTTACAGTCTTGTCTTGGCTTCTCTTCTCTCTGTTGTTGACCAACGGACAACTTATTTCGAGTGTAGTGATCCACTTGGTCTTGTACTTGACGATTCGTGGGTCACATCTTCATGATGTGCAAAAACTGGTACGTCCCAATAAGCTTATACGTCATCCGACACGTACACAGGCCTGATTGAGTTCCAGATCAAGCAGTATGTCATAGAAAGGTACCTTTAAAGTTGAGCCGTGTCGGGAAAGGTACTTACTCTGTGCCAGCGCACCGCACCCAGACATGATGTGATCTACACTTTCTGGGGCCTTACCACACAAACCGCACAACGCCTCACCCTCCGAACTTGTATGGGTCTTCTGACTTGTACATAATCGAGTTGGTAACAGTTGTTCGCACAGATTAGACATGCCAGCGATTGTGTGTTGGACAGGACTTCTACTCTGTCAGCCACCATAGCTTTCAACGCCTCGTCCTGTAACCTAATTGTAACTAAACTTCCCTGCCATTTCTGATTTGTAACTTCCTTTTCTAGCCTCTCTACTTGACACTTACGCAGTTCTTTCTTGACTGTAGGGGGATGTTCGAGATTAAGCTCGACACATAGCTACTCCGCAAACCTAACCGCTTCTTTAACATGGACCGCCGTCCAATTTCCTTCGATCGCTCTTCAAACTCCCGAACAATTTGTATGGCCGAGTCTCCATAACAACAGATTCTAACTGCACCCTTAATCTTCGTGGGTTTATTTTCCATCTCTACCGAACGTAAACCTCTGCCCCCTTCTCTCGCTGTAGGTAAAATAACGCATTCGAGCCACCAGGGTGCCTCCACCCGTTCTAGCTTTAAAAGTCTTTTACTCTTTACTTTAAAATGGTCATTACGCCGATGGGAGTGAGCAAAAGAGCGGATGATAAATAAATAAATAATACAGGCAAACCCCGTTAACACGGACACTGAGGGGGGGGCATAAAATTGTCCGTATTAATGGGGTATAAGTATTGAGCGAATTGAATTTAGAGAAAATGTAAGGTCTTTATTTCCCCAGCGACAAGGAGAACTGTCCGTGATGATCAGGATGAAAACTTTTCGCATTTTTTTTCGAAAAACAACAATTTTATCGTATTTCGCCGGTGTTTGTTGACATGAATGAAAATTACGCTATTGTCAACGGGTAGTGTCTTCAATAATCACCCAATTTATCACACTACATGTAAAACAATTATTCACCTCAGGCTCAGCTGATACTGACGAATAATCCCCCTGACAGTCAACAATATTAACTTCGGTGTATAGATGTTATTCACTGCCTAATTATGTTTGTAATTCCGCTGAAACTTCATCTGTGTATTAAACTTTCTACGTTGAACTTTATAGATTCCTGCCATAGATAAATCGAGTACATGAAATATTGCATTGACTCCTGGAAAGGTGATATTCCTAGTGGTAAAAGCCGCAAAGCACGGCTTTGCTAGAGCACTATTCAAAGAATAAAAACAATTTTGCGATTGCCATCATATCGAAAACTGACTGAGATATAATCCTTCTCCTTACTATTTCTATAATGTATTCGTGATAAAAATTATATTCGTCAACATACTTATTTTAAATTCACAGTCTTCTTGTTAGGGCGTTGCCCCTTTAATGTGTAGGGAGAGGAGGTACCTAAAAGGGAAAAAAAAAATCAGACTGAAAACCACGAAGACGTGACCACGAAACTTAAAAGCTTACTTATGTTTTAAATCATGTTCGCAATGTTTAGATAAACAGGTGTAAGTCGATAGAAACTAATCTCGTTACTATATTAAAGTTCGTTGCGAAACAAAAGATGTTTGTGGCTGGTTGGACAAGGATTTTTACTCAATCGTCGCCTTGATGGACGACAGCAAAATCATCAATGTTTACTTTTTCCTCTGTAATAATGAATCATCTTTGAAATAATTAGGGGCACTAACCACCTTTTAAAGGCTTATTTATCCTGAAGCCCTACATAGAGAAAAGGTGCGTGTGCACTTAATGATTAAAACTATTTTTAGATATCCGTCGGAAAGGTTCACGAGGGAGTACGCTCACTTTTAAAAGTATCATTTCAAAATGATATGAGTGATCTGATATCGGCCGTAGGTGTAACTCTATCGATAGCTAACAGTGGGCATTGAAATAGTAATTGGGTAAGAAAGGCTAAATCAATGTCCACGCTATCGCTATCTCCAAGCTGCTTATTCTTGTTTCCTGTTAGTGAAGCAAAGTATTAAATACAACTATCCTGGTTTCAAGAAAGTTTTTGTAAGAGCTTATGTGATGACCAATAATTTCACAAATGCTTTGACTAAGAACCGACAGGCGACAGTCTGCGTCAGCTCCCGCGCGGTAATCTTAGCATAAAACCCAATTATGGTCGGATTCTAAAGGCTATGACCAGATGACGCGATAGAGAAATTGTTCTTTTTTTGTGCCCGATAACAATATAATATATTTTTGAGGGAAAAGTCTTCTTAAAGTAACAAAAGGTTAACGTTACATGCATCTTTTTCTTTCCTTGCGTTTCCGACGCCTCTTTTTAAACTCCTCCAGTTTATTGTAGCCCAGCAGGGTACGTGCAGTTGGTAGAAAACCAGACTGCATATCGTAAAAAATAATAAAGTAAAGGAAAACATACGTATTGGAAGATCGTAGCCGGTCGTCGGTAATCTGTTAACAAAACCGGAACGGAAAAGGAAAAAATTAATGGTGATCCTCTATATTTTAAGCGGCCATGGGTTTTATCAAGGCGGCCGCGAGCAATGTAATCCAAGAGAGCATCTCGGCGCTGCTTATGTAGAAAAGCTAGAGTTAATTCACAGAGGTCAACTTCTTTTGCATTAGCTATACAACGAGGAAGTGTACATATTAATTTGTTGTCGAAGGAAAGAGTGCTGAGGAATGCTACGCTTACAGTTTATATGGAGTTCATCATAAAATCACTTAATTTAACCTTTAACCACACCGAACGGTATTTGTTTGTGTGTGTGTGTGCGTGTATATTATTCAAATAGGGACTGACTTTTGACCTTCCGATATTCGAGTTCTAGCGTTCCTTTACTGCCCGCAAAAATACCCTACTTTCTTTTGTGTGCCTTTTAAGTTTTAATTTTCGATGATCACGTTCTGAAACAGTCTTCGCCAAGAAATCTGTCACTGTTGAAATGAAATTTCAAGGGATGGAGTAGTTTAATGGCAATGATGTTATTTGACTGTAGATCTCACTTTCACTTTTTGTAAGCTTCCACTCCCGGACTTTTACTGTTTGATCCATATCAAATATCCTTTTACAATGTCAATCACTCAATAAAAGCCTTGACATTTGAAACATGAAAATCACTTAGAAGCAACAGAATAAGTTGCATATAGTGAAAAGAGTCTTACCAGTACCGTAGTGTGTGTGTTTTTGCGACTGTGTCCACTAACAATTAGCACGGAAAGCAGGTGTACACACCACTTAATTTAGCTCCATAGGTAAGTGGAACAGCTGTGCGTTTTATCCTTTGAGCTCTGTCAAGGTTTAAATGCCATTTAAAAACTTAAAAAAGAACCTCACACACACACACACACACAAACACAACTGGAGGCGCCAGTATTAAATGCCGTGTAGACGCTGACACCAGCACGAACGAAACAAGAAATCGCACTTTGCCGTTTTTTGAGTCTGATGATGATGACAAGTATAAGCGATCTAGTACACCAGGCTATTGTTGCCAGCGTAATGTTCGCTCTTCTCCAACTGGTTACATAATGATGCTCGCGTTATCCATTAAACGAGTCATCTGCGAAGTACTGTGTGTGTGTGTTATGGAATATATGAACATTTTAGGGAAGTTCTCGTAGCAGCATTTTACAGGCTTTGCGCGGAAGAAACGCTAGATTGAATAAAGGTTCCTTCAACTCGCATGAAGCGGTAAGAATTCCTTCTATCGATCTCGATGTATTGATCGTTTACTTGTGGGCGAATTGGGCTCAAACCCATCGTATAACGTCTAAGACTAATGAGCATAGCCTGTTAGAAAGGCACACCACGAAAACATTAGAATCTTTCTCTCTCGCAATTCACTATCTCACACCTCAAAATTCTTAGTATACATCCGCACAAAACTTAGACTAACAGAAAAAAGTGAAAATAACGATCTATCTGACATGAACTGTGTCAATCTCAGTTAGTTGTTCTTATTTTATTTAAGAAAGTGCTTCTAAAGTAAGGTACTAAATTAAGCTCAAAGCCCTAAGTTGGCTTGTTTAATGAAGCATTATGTTACTAATATTTCGTCGTTTGTAGTAGGTAATGCAGGCACGTTGAATATTTTATTTTAACATCCACCAATCTTTTTTTTTTTTTCTTTTGCTTTTTCCCGTTATAAACATGGCAATTCTAAACTTCAACGCAAAGGTCAATATTTTTAGTCAAAAGAGGCTTAAATGAATTATGATATACTGCTTTAGGCTGGACAGGATGTTTGCTCAACGAATGGAATGATTATACACATGTGACTGATAGGGCCCTTCAAAGTCTACTCGTGAACTCGACTCTGTTCCGTTCATGACTCTTCTTAATTTTGGTCGTGTTCCTCGTTAATTTTTTACTGATCTTCTCCCTGACCTTCTGCTTGTTTTACTCGTGGTTCTTGGTGAAATAAATAAATGAATACCGAAATAAATAATAATGATGACGATGATGATGACGACGATGATTCTCATCCGCTTGATAGATAGTAGGATTTAAAAAAAAATTTTTAGGTGAATTATTGATTTATGCTCTGTCTGTATTTTTAATTGTATTAAATTCTCAGCCAGCTGATCTTGCTGTTCATAACTTGGAAGACCCTTCTTTCTTGGGGCAAAGCACTTCGTCACAATCATCACTGTATTTTTCAACCCAGAGTTTACGATGGATTCAAAACGTCTCTTTACCACAATGATCTTATGGCTAATTTTGAGCTCCGTTCTATTGGACTACACTGAAGGATTTCTTTTTAAAGAATCTACGACACGTGCCTCTAGAAGGAAAAGGACGAAACACCAGCAAAGGAAAAAGCGAACAAACCGTGAAACACAAAAGAAGACGAAACAGCAAATACAAAAGGATGCATCTTTAAGGAAAATGGCTATTTCTGTTCTTAACAGTTGGGTACGTAACATAGATATGCCGAGGTTTTTTTGGTGCAATCAATTTTCTTAAGCTTTCTGATACTTGTATCCGTTAAAATGGGCTTTTTAAGGGGCTACGTAACGCCATTTGCTATCTTTTTTAAGAAGCTGGAACGTGTCTTCTCATCAGTTGAATTCCATAATGATACAGCTTTGTTATTAAACACTATACTTAGGCATATTGACTGACTGTTTCCTGCCGCCTGTTGCTGCGGATGGCAAGGATACACATAGACTGAAAGTTATTAAGCAAGTTGGACCAGCAATTTTAAGGACGTTCGCGCGAAAATCTTCTTTTTTTCTGAAACTTTCACCAGTTTGAGATTATGGGTTACTAATGTCAAAAATGTAAAAAAATTGGGGGGTCACCGAATTCGTTTCGGAGATATAGTATTCAAAAGATCACCCAAAATATGAGAAATCGGGCTTCGTTACTGCTTACGGATAAAGAGCCTGTTTGTGAAAAAAGTTTATAATTAAATCCCTGAATTGAAATTTTATCCGCCAATTATTGTTCTTGTGGATCCATAAACAAAATTCGGTGAACTAAAAAACTTCCTCAGAGTTGATTTTATTATTTAGCGGACACATTTCTACTCTCCTAACAGCCGCACGAATGCCAAAATTTGACGCCACGTACACAGAAAAATTACAAATTTTTTACCTTCCCACATTGATTTTTTCTTCAATTTTTCACAATCTATCGGAAAGTGGAAGAGAAAGTGGTCTACCGAAAAAAAATGGGGTGTCACCGACCATTTAAGAAAGTAAATTGCAAGCGAAGTTAACGCAACGGCTACCAGCCCTATATGTGCTTAGACACTTTTCTCAGCGCGCGCGCTCGATGCATGACGTGGCGTGATATAGCGCTATCAATTACGTGCGCAGTAGGGATGCGCAGAAATAATTAGCGCGAACGTCCTTAAGTTATAAAACTTTGCCTACAAAAATCGCCCAAAAAATGAGCATTGTTACTCTAGCAGATGTTTGTTTTAATTATTTTTAAGTGAAGCACTGCAAATAGGTCTTTTTTATGAGTATTGAATAAAGATTTATTATTATTATTATTATTATTATTATTATTATTATTATTATTATTATTATGATGATCATCATCATTATTATGGAGATCGAACAGAAAACGTTCACTCCCCTAGTTTTTACGACCACAGGTGGAATGGCGGATCAGTTTGTTAAGTACCACAGCAGACTTGCAGAGCTGATCGCAAATAAGAAGGGAGAAAGTCACTCGAGCGCAATTTCCTGGATAAGAGCTTAAGTGCCCCAGACATAACGCAGGGAATGTGGGAATTGTATTTTTTTGTCTTTTTTTTTTTTTTTTTTTTTTTTTTTTTTTTTTTTTTTAATGCTACTCACGTATAAATCGTATTATACTGATCCCTGACAAAAAATAAGCAAATAACTAAAAAATAAATAAAAATTAAAGTATATAAAAGTAAAGCAACTTATAGATTATCTTGCCCTCTGACTCCCTGCACTCTTCGGCAGTAAAATGATAGCTCCCCGCATGGACCAAAGAAACAAACGTGGCTAAAGAATGTTTCAGCACTTAGATACACGCTAGTTACTAATACAGTTTTATTGTATTACTATAGCTGTCTTATTAAATATGATTTATTTATCTATTTATTCATTAGACGGAAACAGAGGAACCATCCAACAGGAACAGAACCTTGATCTCCTTGAGGTTCAATAACACGTTGTCTGCAAACTGAGGAACAGAGTTAATTTTCTTTTCTTTTTTTTTTTTTTTTTTTTCGGCAATGCACATGCTGGGCTCACGGGTACACATAACTTACTCACTGTTGAGAAAAATCAGAAATAAAGGTGCTAGGCAATCTAGGGATATTAGCTGTATTATTAACTGGCTTGTAATTAAACATTTATCTATTTCTTTTTGAAAATATAGGATGTGTAAATAAGGATTCGTTTTTCCTATACTTTAAGGTGGCTGAACACAGTTTGATAGGGTGTGGATCATTACCATTTATCGAGGTGTTATTTAAGACTCGTTGCAAATATTAAACTCAAATTGGACACAGACAAACTATATTTATAAGACATGGCAGTTAGGTGGAAAGTGAGATTTTCAATTTATTAGGTTTACGAATAATCCCCCATTTTAAGGGCCTGTTTACATGGAGGTAGGGGACCCCAGGTAGGTGAGGTAACCCCCTTAGGTGGGGTAGCCCGCCTGTCCATACAATCTCTCATTTTAATGTGATCACGGTTACGTGTTAGGTGGGGTAACCCGCCACATGTTACCTCACCTAGCTGGGGTCCCCCACCTTCATGTAAACAGGCCCTTGGAAACTACTTACTAAATTGTAACCAACAGTTGTTGAAATTGAAAAAAAAAGCTTTCATGCAAATCTTGATTGTAGCACAAAACTATCCGTTCAAAAATTCTTTTGACGCTTTCATTTGCTTAAGTGTTATATGAACAGGATTTCTGCCAAATTTCGTCAAATTTTAATGAGTAAATTTTAAGATATTTTTGCTTATGAAAGTCAACAAAACAAGCATTCTCACAATGTTTCCTAAAAACGCATGCTCAGCCCTAATTTAATGTGCACGTGCTGAGGTCACGTGATATGTCAAAGGCGACAAAAACATCAATTTCTAATGGACTTCTTTTCAGCTTGTCCTCGCACGTTTTTTTTTTAAAGCTTATTGGCTGCATACCTCCTCATGATAAACATGTTAAAACACAGTAACGGGGAAAATCAGTTCTAGAGAAACTGTCGTCAGCCACCTTAAAACATTTCATTGTGCGCTTTTTGTACGGTGTAAATATATTCTTGTGGGTCTAATTAAAACGAATAACCTCATAAGATTCTTTAAGTCTCTGGATTCAGGGATTTGGTGGTCATATTTGGCGGATTGAAATAATATATGTATATAAACACTTTGTCGACTCTAGTACCACAGTTTGCACTTCTCTCGTTGATCAGTTTTTTTTTTTTATTCTTGAACGTATTCTGGTCCTAGAGGTCTTTCTTGAAGTTTTTCTTCGCGTAAGAAGTATCCTTATAGAAGAGGCGAGCAAGAAAAACCTTCTGGTTATCTTGGGCTTGAATCTCACTATCATGCAGACCACAACTGTGCAAATTGACCAATGACACGTTAGCCGCACGTGTTTACCAGCCATTATTATTACTATTATTATTATTATTATTATTTTTTTTTTTTTTCAGGTAAGGTAAACTCGGGGAAATTGTTTGACTGTATTACTAATCTATTCCCACATGGGTGGTGGAAAGGGAATACAATCACCACTTCACACACTTGATCGGGTTCAAAGACCTGATGTGTGCAATTTGACGATTATAACATTGCGGAATCTTTTAATGATTCTTCTCTCGAACAAAGTAATTACATACCTTAACAACAGTCTTTCGATTCTCTAAAATTCTCCTTGAAAACGTAGCGCTTGCGCTAAAAAGTGTCAAAAAGTACCGGTCTTGATAAGATTCCTATACTAAGCTCTTCAAAAACGCATCAAGTGTAATTGCACCATCTTTAGCCTCTTTCCTCTGGGATTTTTGTTGATGAAAGGAAAAATTTAGGAAATTTCAATATTGCCAATAATTAGTAAAATTTTCGAGAAAGAAGTTTTTAACCACGTATATCGTTATCTTAAGGACAATTCTATTTTCCCTAAATTTCAGTCAGGATTTCGCCCTCTTCACTCGACTCTCTCGGCTGTAATTCAAATGTGCGATAACTAGTTTGAAATTATGGACAACAGAAAATTGACAGGGTAATTTTCCTTTTTCGTTTTACTCAATTGATCATTCGATTTTACTAGAAATAGTTGAGTTTAATGAAATCTCTGATAGGGAACTGAATAGATGAGATTTAAGTCCTATCTTACCGCTCGACAACAACAGTGGTTCGTAAATAGAAGTTTATCTTCTCTTAGAAACTTACTCTGTGGAGTTTCTCAAGGATCTATTCTTGGCCCTCTGCTATTTCTCATTTATATAAATGCTAATTGAATTGATTAGAATGTTCTTTCTAAATACCTCTTATTAGCCGAGTTTTCGGTCCGTACTGTAAATTACGGACCGAGTTTTTTTCCATCGATTTATGGCGTTAAGAAAGAAAGTTTTTATTGGCTCACGAAAACAATAGCACATAACAAAGGGTTTCCGAGAAAGTGAAAACAAATTTGCCATGTTGAAATAGTTTATTTGGTCAAAACTAAGAGCGCTGTAAGTTTTAGCTCTTTAATGTAACGCTGGAGTATTTTGAAAACCGGGCATTGTGTCTTTCTCGAAGTCGTTTCCATCTTTCCTCCGTTGGTCCTTGTAAAAAAAAAAAAAAAAAAAAAAAAAAAAACACTGCAAAAGGCAAACAAGCTTTTCAAGGTAAGTTTGTTGTCATTGTCGAAGGATTGGCTCGTAATTTTTGGGGGGAAAACCTCTCGAATTTCTGCCAGTTCATTCCCGTCTTCAAGCGTGATCTGCGTTAAAATTTTCAAACACGGACCATATTTTGTTCCTTGGAAAGGTTGCGATTCAGTTTCTTCATCAGCCTCGTTCTCATTCAAACCACGCTAGGTTAAAAGCTGGAAAGGCAAAGTCAACATCCCCGTCCTCATGGTTTACAGACATATTTTTAAGTCTATTCGGTCAAAACTGAGAGCACTGTAAGTATTCACTCGCCAATGTGACGCTGGAGTCTTTTGAAAACTGGACATGGTGTCTGGCTCGAAGTCGCTTCTATCTTTCTTTCGTTGGTCTTTGTAAAAACACTGCAAATGGCAAAGAAGCTACTTAAGATGATCGGGTGCAGGCATGTTTGTTATCATGTTTGTCAAAGGAATTACTCATTTCGAACCTCTGCCAGACGATTTTCGTCATCTTAACTGTGTCAGTACGATGAAATTTTCAAAAACTGACTAGAATCCTCTTCGATAAGATTACGAGTTAGTTTCTTCATCGCCTTCGTTCACAAATGAACGCAATTTAAAATGTTGAAGGACAAAGTCAAAATCTAAGTCCTCAAGGTTGATAGACGTCTTGTAACTTTATTTCAATCTTTTTTTTCCGAGGTAAAGAGATTTAGAGCTCCGAAATGAGCATTTTCTTTAAAAATGTTGGTCCATTTAACAAGTTATGTATCGGTCAAATCAAAGCTTCAACATCCCCTGCCCCCCGGGCATACCCCGGGCATTTGACACCTTTGCCGTCCCTGAGAGGAGGGAATTTGATAAGCAGAGTCTTCCAGGGGTTGGGGAATTTGATCCCCGTGCGTTAGGGGTGGGGAATTTGAACCGCACCCTCGATTTCATGTGAAATCTATGGCGTGGCGAGCTATCATGGTGGACGTGGTGTTAGAGGATTTTCGTGGAAAAGATTGTGCCGTTGTGGCCAATTGGTTACAAGGTTTGTGCCGTATTTGAAGGTATTTAAATTTTAATATTTTTAATATTGGATTCAGGCGTTGAATAAATGAATTTTTTTAGGTTGTGTTTATAATGGCACAATAAAAAGCTCAACAGAGGTCAATTACTTTGACCTTCCGCATATATGTTGAATGAGCGATGATGCATGTCAGTGAATTTGTCATGATGTAGTAATCTCAACAGGTAGGATTTTTTTTAAAGAACGCTTTGTACGTTGCATGACGCACGAAGAAACTCTGAGCCTTCAGTGACCTTTTAGCAGCGATTTCCGCCACTTTGCACGAGACTTTTGTTAGTAGTAAATACGCTAACAATGCTTCTCAGTTTTTGGTATATTGAATTCGAATTATTTGCTGTATTTATAAAGATTTTGTTCGACAACTGAAGGCGTTTCTGCCGTCCTTCTGTCATTTATGTGCCTGTGAAATGTCCTCAGGGTGGGGACATTTGATCACCTGAATGGACCCAAGTGTGGGGTATTTGAACGACATTTTGGCCCGGGTAGGGGGGGAATTGAAGGGGGAATTGAAGGGGGATGTTGAAGCTTCGATTTGACCGATACATTACGGACCGAAAATTGACCATTCGCATGGCGAAAACAGACTCAGTCATATAATTGCCAACGAGCCATCCGAGCGAAGACGCTCGGATGGCGAGGCGGCAGCAGAATAGAGCCGCCTAAGACTGGGCAATAGGCAGAAAAATTCTCGATCGAGCTGAAAAAAGTGTAACCCAATGTAATGTAGATTCCCCTGAGACCAAGTGGTCAGTTGTGAACCAATCAAAAGGCAGTACCTGGCGCAAGAGCTCAAGCTGAATAACAAACAAAATTTCACACACTTCCCGCCGTCGTGACTTCCTGTGTTTATTTACCTAAATTTTTTCGTCAAACCCGGCCACTGCAGTCAAGAGACATGAGCACTTGATATATTCTATTAATTTTAGGGGCCATAATGTTAAGTTTTAACGAAGAGAAGTTTGTAAAACAGCAAAAGTGTTCTATGTGCAGCAAACAATATTCTCACCACTAAAAAGGATCAGATTACACGAGGAGATAAGGAAAGCTTGACACGAAGAATGCAGTCGCTTCTGTTGGAAAATCTGGTGTTGGGGAAAAAATCTAACCAGCAAACAAAAACAATGAGAACAAAAACGAATTACAAGCCTAAAGCGAACGACAAAGGAAAAGAAAACAACGCCATTATTTTCGAAACCTGGCCGAGTTCAGTATGAAAATAATGAACTAAAATTAAATACCGACGTGCCGTACATCGCATGTCCTTGAAAACAGTTCAGATGGCCCAGCGAGTCATTCTAAGTTTCAATGCGATAACAAAAAGCCTCGGGAAATTTGAAAAGAGGTTTAAATGATTAAACTATGCAAATATTTATCAACAATGTGAAACCGAACCGACAGTAGATTTGTAGCAGGACTTAATAATATTCCCGATCGCTTCCTCTGCAAAGCTGACTTTATTCTTTCAAGGCACTTCACACTTTTACATAGCAGGTTTGTAAAGCCACCAGACTGAATCTGAGAACTTTTCAAGAAAATAATCCTTGCAACAGGAAGGGACCAAGAAACGGTCAAATGGGAAAAAAAGGAGTTTTATTCCTAAGCAAAATACGCATGATTTCCTCGTTGGCACTCTATCGATAGGTATACCTAGTAATAATATTTATTTAATTCCGGTCTAGAAAACCTTTTGTGATTAGCTCACAGTCTATAGGCTCCAATTCCACCCTCTAAAATTGGTCGTTGGGTAGACATATAAATGCTTCACTAGGATTAAAGGACACTTAGAAAGCAAATATGTACCTCTTATTAGCCGAGTTATCGGTCCGTACTGTAAATTACGGACCGAGTTTTTTTTCCAAGAGAAGCTGTTAGACCAGGGTAGCGCTAAATATATACTTTAGACATTTTCATATAAAGTAACTTTAATCTAGTATCTATTTAGTACCTATCGCGAGAAGATCGAAGTTTGTCCGCATGACGATCTTTGCACGGTCTTTTCATCTGAATGAACTAATATTAATCCGCTCCGTTTGGTTCTTCCGCACGAAAAGTTTGACGTCGGACCTACTCGTGAATCCCTCAGACGATGACATCTTGTTACCGATCATCTTTTCGCAAATCTATCCTGAAAGGCTTCTATATTATCCACTTCCAATTTCAAACCAAGCTGATCTCCCCAAACAATGTCACCGTAGTTCAAATGAGGTAGAATTCTTTTTTAACCAAAACCTCGATCGGTTAAACCAAAAAAAGGACCGAGACCAATAATATTGGTTAAACGTAACGATCGTTCGTGAAACCGGGTCAATGTTTACTAATAACACAAGCAGGCTTTTGGCAGTTGACAATAGACCAATTTTGATATATCAAAAAATTAACTTTTGGTTCCAACGCTGAAGGATAATGCATTATTCATCTTCTGACGTCACGATTATTTATGTCTTCCCACCCGAGCCTGAAAGTGAAGTAATAATAGGGGGAAACTGGTCTATGCAATTCCGTCCTTAACTTAGAAAACATGGGCTAATGCCTGGCATAAATATACCTAACGGCTGGCAAAGAACTGCTTGATCTTGATCTTGTTGTCCTGTTGGTTTCAACTTCCAGTTGGTATGCGTCATCAGAAGCTGCATCCGGGGAATTTGATAAATATGTTGGAGCGGATAATGGTGGCGAAGCAAGTGACTGCTGAGTCTGGTTTAACTGTTACCATGCAAGTAATTGTTCAAAACAAAATTTCTGAGATAATTTCCTAGTTGATTTTGCACAACACGCAGACGACTAAACTTCCGCTTATAGAGCACGTTCCTCCTAGTAAAGGAGAGGATTATCTCGCCTTGTTACCCAATTAAGTCACTTGTGCAAAATCTATTTGAGAGAAAGGGTAGGGTGATTAATAAACTGTTCGTACCTCTGGAAGATATAGCTACATTGTAAACCACTGATTTTCTCTTGTTCAATGTGCAATATTATAGTATTCGCACTAATAAGAGCATCTAATAGTGTATGGTGAGATCAGTCACTCCTATTTGAGCTCATGGTGGTTGACCCGGTAACTTACAGCAACGTTTGTTCTATTTGTCAAATGGGGCTCGAGGATGAATCACGTCGCTAAAACCAGCGGACACGGTAAAATTCGAAAATCGAAGAGAATGTGACAAGGAACTAATAGCTTGTTGGTTAAAGAAGCTTAAATTTGTTTAATCATATCCGGTAATGTCTTAGAAAAATATTCTCCTACAACAAAGAAAACGAGTATAATTATATAGAAGTTCATATTCTCACTACATATACGTTATACTAAGCACGTTGCAAACTAAAAGTTGCTCTTGGTCTCAGCTTCTTATGGCAATCATTTTAGTATTAATGTTTTTTTTCTTGGTAAGAGCGACAAACCTCGTCGCTTTCTTCTTCTTCTTCTTCTTCTTCTTCTTCTTCTTCTTTTTTTTTCTGAAAGAGTGCAGAAAATTCACGTCTTAATATTTCTGAACACCGACAACAGCTGGTACATTAAGGCTCCCTCAAATTTAAGTCATTAAAGCAGTCTTTGTTTCCTGTTAACGTAAGCAAAAAATATCTAATAGGTAATAATTTCTCAAGTTTTGAAAGTTCGCGTGCACTTGTGATTGCATCTATTTTCAGAAATTCACTGGAAAGAACTGTTTGGCAATAGTGCTTTAAATATTTAAGCAATATTTTAAATTTTAAAGTGAAATGAAACGTCTCACCAGTTCAGCGACATGTGGCTTTGTTCACGAAAGTACTACTACTGCACTAAAATAGGTTTATGTTGCCCACAAAATTAGATGAACATGGACTAAGCCCAATCCAGTGACTACTCCGTTTTTTTTTTTAATTCGGTTTCCTATTATCGTTGAAATGCTAAACTGATGAATGCGTCCATGCGTCCATTTTGATTCAAGAGGTGTTGTTGTAAGAGCGTATGTGAAAACCGATTATTTCATTAATGTCGTAGGTGGCCGTCACAATCCCGAAAATACAGCTTCCGCACGATTAGCCAGGAAAACCAATTTTGCTTGTTTTTTGTTTTTTTTTTTTTTTGGCCGGATCCAATTCTCCTTTGTATTACGACTACGGTATATATATACGTTTTCGTCGAAAATAAATGAAGACATTATAGCCAGGCCCGGGGAAACATTTAAAAAATGTTTTCTTTTGCAGTAGATTGGAAAGTTGATGTTTTGAAATTGACACGTTGGGTTTTAAAAGCGGTATTAATTTTTTTTATTTTTTTATTTTTTATTAACAGAGATCTTTGTTACCACTACATCACTTACAACACTTTCACTACAAAATTTAAGGTTACAAAAAATTACAATTAAGAATTAAGATTCCAACGATTAATACAACATACACTGCAACCAGGCTTGCTTCACGCATACGTAGATTAGATTATAATCATTTACAGTAAGGAGAGGAGAGGCTTCCATTGTGAAAGAAATTTTGCTTTTTGTCCTTTGAATAAAAAATCGATCTTTGCACAATTAACTTGTCTTTAACGAATTCAGGAAAATGATCAAAACTTGGGGGTTTAATTTCGCTCCTTTGCAGGAAGATATGTCTCTTGCCAAGAAGGATATAATAGTTAAGGATTTGCCTTTTAGGATCTTCGGGATTATAGCCATACATTATACGTAATGTGCAGCGTGCTTGATTTCACATTTCTGCACGGGGGAATTTTGTGATAGTTGACGGGCTATTAGCCAATAATCTAATCTGCATTTTATTTTCAAGTCAGATGTTCGCCAAGTAAATTGTTTTTCTTCTGGATGTAGCGTTCTCCATACGTCGTCTAAATCTAAAATACACATCAGTTGCTCGATCTCACTGGCGACATTCCTTCTTGACGAAACATCACGTCCTCCTTCTTTATCGGTTTTGGAAAGAGGGCAATTAAAATCGCCACCTACTATAATGTTGTCGTTGGGAAACTGTTCAAGTAAAGATCTGAGTTGTTTAAAAAATATAATTTGCGCGTTATCATTATTGGGTGCGTAAATATTGGCACAAATAAATTTCTGATCATCTATAGAAAACTGCAGGATAAGAATCCTGCCGTTTTGACAACAAATTTCATTTTCTACTAGCACTTTGAGTCGAGGATTAAACAGAATTGCTACTCCTTTGCTGTGTTTACTTCCATGACAGAAGTACACCTTACTACCCCACTCGTTACTCCATAATTTTTCTTGGTCAGTAGAGCTATATGTCTCTTGCAAGAAAATTATTGAGTACTTGTTAACGTGCAGTTGCCGAAAAATAGCTCTTCGTTTTCTTGAACTATTTAAACCCCTAACATTTAACGTAATAAAAGTTAACTTATTCATATTAACGAATAAATATCGATATCTTAATAGTTTCACAATACAGAAGCCTTCTTAAGCTAAAGCCTGGAGAAAACATTGCATCACTTACAACATAAAAACGAAAATTACCTTTTATGAAACAAATTAAAGGCATTGCCTGTGAAGTTCTTTTAACTCCAACAATGGGTAGAATGTGAGATTAAAGTTGTTGTTGGTCAGTATCACTCCGACGGCGTTGCTAGGTTAACTCTTTGCCTCTTCCATTTCATGGCGTAGTTTTGCTAGTTCTTCTGTTCCTACGATTCTGTGACGGCCATTGGCATCGACATATTTGAGTATTGCAGGATATGCGATGTATACTTTCCGGTCGTCTCCGAGTTTCTTCTTTAGAAACTTTCTGTAGGGCACGAGCTCTTGCCTCCGCTGCTGGGTTTTTTTGGCGAAATCCTCACTTATACCGATGGCATTTCCGTTTAACGGGTTATCCTTTAGACGAGCGGCGGCATTCCTTAGTACCTTCATCTTATCCGTGTATCGAAGAAAAGCGACGTGCATTGGTCTGGGACCCTTTTCACCAGCAGAAGGCGTTTTGCTTGGCGTGCGGTGTGCCCTCTCCAGCTCAACATGGCCACATATCGTTTCAAGGCCCATATGCTGCGTAATAAAATCCTGTACAAAAGAGATGCAATCTCCTTTTTCGGCTTTCTCTGGTATATTGTAGAAGACTAAGTTGTTCCTTCTTGACCTGTTTTGTAATTCTTCGATTTCATCCTTCAGCGCATCGACAGTGGCGTTATCTGCTTTTGAGTCTAAATCCGTTTTTACCTTCTGCAGTTCTGCTGTCATAGAGTTAAGTCCTCTTTCCATGTCACCTACGGTATTTTCAATCTTCAGCAGTCTTCCGTTTATTTGTTCAAGCACGTCTAGCTTCTTTAGCTTTTCGTGTATGCTTTCCAAGATGGCGGCGCCGGCCTCATGTTTATGTGGTGGCGTTCTTTCATCTTCACTGCTTAAGCATGCCTCTTGTCTCGCTCGCTTTTCGTTGGGCATAACGGAAAGGAAAAGCAAAGATTCTCTAAATAGTTTGAGGCTGATTTGGCTAATTTCCTGAAACTGATATAGTGAAACGGCAAGGCAGCGTCGGAGCGATAAAAAAAACACGACTACTCCATTTGGCGCCCAGTCCCAGTCCAAAAGCGGTATTAATACCACGGTTTGTCGCTTGCTTTGTCTAATTATAACTTCTAATTTATTACTATGGTAAAATTAGCTCGTTTAACAAGGCATTATGCTAGAAAGCTTAAGGACGTGACTTCAATTCCTGCGCAGGGACGCGGTCTAATCTTTCTGCCGGGTATCGAAAAAGGGAGCTTTAGCATCGACGACGACGACGGCTTCGAAAAATCCCTCTTTCAGCTCATTAGCTCTTTCCGGGATGAGTGATAGGTGAGCATTATGGGAATGAAAGGAGGAAGGATGGTATTATTTTATCCACAACCTAAGAAAAAGTCCTCGCAAAAGGAGTGACGTTTCTCAAGGTGATGGAAATCTACTTGAAAAATTTTTAAATTTAAAATATGCAAATATATTATGACAAAAGCTCAAAAATAACGAGAAGTCAAAAGTGACCTTTACTCAATATGATTTCAGAAACTGCTTTTGTCAGTGTTAATATTTACCCTCCAACTTTAATTTGTAACATATTACTATACTGTTTCATTTTGCCTAAAAAATACCATTAACTGTTCCCAGTAGATTTCAAACATAGGATAAACTCCTAACTACATAGAAAGGAAAGTAGGTAGTTTGAATTGCTTTATTGACCTCATACGGGTACAGCTAACTTCAGCACAACAAGACGACTAGCATTTCACTTTATCTTGTTCAGGTATGCAATGTATTTGAGAGGATACGGAAAAACTAATATTTTCATTTCGTCTATGGTGGTCAATAACTTTTTTTTTTGTTTTGTTTTGTTTTGTTTAGTTCGTTGTTAGACTAGGAAGATTCTGAACGCAACATTCCTTTATATGATTACAACATTTTTTTTAGTTGGGAATGAAAAGAACAATAATAGAAAACGTGACCAGGAATTAAGAGCTCATCCTTTTATAAATCAAGTCTACAATTTTTATCAAAATCCCAGATAATTCTCTGTTAGTTAATCTTGTTACTTCAATATTAAGATTAAAAGATTTTATGAAAATCACTTGTTCAACCGAAATTCCCGAAAGCAGCTAAACAGCACTTTAACGATAAGCTTTTAAAGGGACAGTGTCCCGATTATGCGCACGCGCGAGCGTCATCTGTTTTTTCTTCAAAAGACAATAGAACTGTCAAATTGACTCGACAAGATTTCCTTCCGGACCGCACCGCCGACAGAGATTTGTTGTTTATATTCTCAAGTAATATTTTAGACTTTCGAAGAAGTCTTTCGTCTTATATAAAAATTTGGCTCGCGGTTCGAAGACTCATCGCGATTTTATCGCTAGCTGGGCCGCCTCGCGACCCGAAAATCTCGTTCCGCTCGCTTTAAAAACATATTTTCTAATTTGAAACTCGTGTCAGAGGTCAATAGCTCCAAGTCCAGTAATATCTGCCTGATTTGCTCGCGTTCTAGTCTCAAACGTTTGAAAGACATAAATAAAAATGCAATCTCAACGCTATGAATCATCACAAAGATTAGTAAAAAATGATATCATGATTTCATGTCACTAGTTTTTCAAAACATGTAGCGCCTGTTTGTTCGATTTTGTCGGCCGTAGGGAGATTCATTTAAAAGTTTACTAACACGTTGTTGCAAAACATTGTGCTTCACGAAGCTCCCCTCCACAAGATCTCCTCAGTCACATCAATGTCTCAACGGTTTCTTTCTTACAGTCTTTATTGTTGCTGTTTCATTTCTACGTATTCCTTTCACAATTATCTGAGCTTGTATGGAAGCTAGCAGAAGAAGTAAGCCCTTAAATCGCCATCAAAGTGGTTCCAATCTTTTGGTCCTCCGGCCAACGGCAATAAAAGTAACGCCAAAAAATCCAGATTTTGCCCAAATCGAAACTTAACAGGAACAATATATCATTAATCTATAATCCTGAGGAGTTTTAGTGTCGTATTGAATCCGGCCAAGCGCGATGCAA